ACATTCTCCCACACATTTAACTGCGAACTACTACCAGCTAGCACACCCACGTTCTGTCCCGCACACACCTACCTTGACTTCTGCATTCTGGACATGAGATTGAAAATCAGCAACCTGGTTGATAACGAGCTAGCCACGACCCATTACGACAGCGATCATCTTGCCCTTCTCATCAACCTGGAAACCCTCAAACCTTTCATCTCCGGTTCAGGCAGCAGACTCACACCTAAACCTATGTTCAAACTCACAAACTGGAAAAAATTCACCACATACCTGGAACACAATTATAACGTCGTCGTGCCCAACGACAGAAACCTTGAGGAACGGGAGATAGATGAGTCAATACTAGCCATCAATGACAATACTTTACGAGCCATCAACGCCAGAGTTCCCAAAACCAAACCCTGTGGTAATTCGCAGAAATATATCACCCATAGAATCACTCAACTAGAAAAAAGAAATCCTCCCTCCTCACAGCACTGCACCGTAAGCTAGCCACTGACCCCAGAGCCATTAGTAAGGAAACCAAAGCCATTAAACTCATCCTCGCCCAAACCCGCGAGGAAATCAACCTAAAATTCAGAGCTGCAATAGAAAAACACTGGACGAACATCTTCAAAAAAATCAACTTCAGGGACTCTTCAAAATTCATGCCAACTGTAAACAGGATATTCCGCCCAAAACCCAACTCAGGCCTTGCTAATATCTCAATCCCTGTCGCGAACAATGACATCCTAGCAAGATCGGGAAACAATCTCGCCAATACCCCAATCTCCAACAATAATTATATCTTTTCTGATCCAGTCAACAAACAGAACGCTATTGGTGCTTTCTATGAATCCATCAACTCCCCCCGACACCTCAATAATGGCACGCGCCTGAAAGAATTGATCACCAAACGTATCGCCGACTTCAAACACTCACTCCAGCAAGACCGACTCAACAACTTCACCATGGACACCTTCAGTGCAACCAACAAAGCCACCAACCCTTCCGAAGCGAGCATCAACAGATACTTCACTACACCCAAACAGATCTCAGGTATAATCAACAAATTACCTAACAAAACCTCGAGCGGCATCGATAATATCTCTGCCATCGTAATAAAGCATCTCCCCCCAAACATAATAGTAGACTTCACCACCTTAATCAACAACGCTCTCAATAGGCAGTACTTTCCCAGCATTTGGAAAACTGCAGAAGTAATCCCAATTCTGAAGAAGGACAAGCCCAGTAGTGACCCCTCCAGCTACCGCCCCATTAGCCTACCACCAAACCTTAGCAAAATTTATGAAATCGTCATAAACAACCTAATCACAAGCCATTGCAACATAAACGGAATCATCCCGAACAACCAGTTTGGATTCCGCCTCCACCACTCCACCACCCACGCCATCCACAAGTTCCTGACGCATATCAATAGTGCCCTTCACTGCAAGCTAATGGTCGGTGCAACCCTTATTGACCTGGAAAAAGCGTTCGATTCTGTTTGGCTTGACGGGTTAATCTTCATTCTCCTCAAAAAAAAATTCCCTGACAACCTGGTCAAACTCATCTGGAACATGGTCTCTCTTCGATCTTTCTACACCACAGACGGAACCAACACCTCCAGCAAAAAGTTTATGATACTTGACGGTCTCCAACAAGGGACAGTCAACTCCCCCTGCCTCTTCAACATCTTCACCAGCGACATCCTGAACTCTTTTGGGCTCAACTCCACCCCCAACACCCACTCAATTGTCTACGCCGTCGACCTCATAGTCTACGTTTCCGGCAAAAACATCAAAAATATCCAGCCTTCTTTACAGACGGTAGTCAACAAAATTAGCAATTTCTACTCAATGTGGAATTTAAGAATTAGCCCCCTCAAATGAGAGAACATTCTGTTCCGGCGCCCTGTCCGTGAAACAAACAGATGCAATCTAGCAGGGATCAACTCATTGAAAATCACTACTTTCAACCCTGAATCCAGAGAAATAGTGACCATCCCCACAAAACAACTGGTCAAATACCTCGGCGTTCACATCGACCACCTGGCTCGCTGCACCAAACACGTTGATATCCAGATCACAAAGGCCACACTACGATTCCAAACCCTCCGTCGACTATTCTGCAATCAATTAATCTCGCCCCGTGCCCGAATCATCTGTTACCTTTTGTTAGTTAGACCTCTTCTAACATACGCCTGCCTCGTTTTATGGAACTTGTCAGCCTCCACTGTTGAAAAAATGCGTCTTCTGGAACACAAATGCATCCGAGCCGCCCTCAGCCTGTACAAATCACCACACCCCCGAAACCACCACATGATTAGTAACCTAGCACTATACAACGCAGCCGATATCTCCAGAATTGACAGCTTCTTCATCAAAATCACCAGAGAATACTTTGCCCAGATGATCAACATTAGAAACACCACAATCAGGAGACTCAGCTATGCTGACCCCATCCACACATACCTTGCAGCACAAACTGGTTATCTCGAACCTCAAGCTTTCACTCACCTAGACAGACTGGGCCTAATACAGGACGCCCAGAACACCCCAAGACTTTACCACCTCCCTAGACACCCCTCGGATAAAAAAATTCCTATCCAGGAACTCACACGCAAACCAAGCAAGTACTCCACTGCGATCCCTGAAAGAGACTCGCTAAATACCAGCCGCATGAATCCACGGTACTGGTGGCTTGATGAGGAGGCCAAATCCATCATCGATCTCCGCTCAAGACTCCGCTCACTCGGGAGAAACGTCCCTGATATCCAGCGGCCTCGTCACCTGGCGAGACCATGAAGGGAGCCTGCTACTAGCTGACTCCTCTCCCCTGTACTGTAAATAGTAGTCTTAAGCCCTAGTCCCTAAGTATTAAGTTAAATGTGGTTTTTTTATATGGTTAACTCTTTTACCACAGACTCAAAGTCTGTTAGACTAAATACCCAATGTATCTTACTTATTCACACCTCTATCACAGATATCGTCCCTACTACAAATACTATGTATTAAATCTCCCAGAATAGTGAGATGCCTCACCACAGGCTACCTCTTTCCGAGACAACATTTTACACAATGTTGAGATGTACTCAAGGCCTTTCTTCCCTAGGAGTTAGTTTATGCCTTCTTCATTGTATAATTAAAAGACCGAAATAAACATACTCTAAAAAGAAAAAAAAAACATGTGGGAAGGCATAGGTTTCGTAATGTTTGGTTCAGGCGCTCGAATCTCGGTTGCAACGGTCAATTTTTGAGTTTATTAATTAGGTTTTTTCAACGATCAATTCATGAAAGATGGATAAATGGGTGTAAAATTGAATTGTATCAATAAGAACCAAGTAATTTATTTTATTCTTTAAATTATTTTGATCAATCATTTCTAGATAAATTCACGAATTAGTTGATAATTACATCCCAGGCTTGGATCTTTGGTCCTAGCTCGGGCCACGTCTGGTCTAGTTTGTTTTTAGCTTGGTATCCAAGCTTGGATCGAGTTCGACGTCCGAACTTGGATCAAGCTTGAATCTAGCTACGCCAGTTTTGGGCCAAGCTAAGGCCAAGCTTGGACCAATAGTCAATTCCCACCTGAATAGTGGAGAAAGCATAGACAATTCTACAAGAATATCCTGGAAGGAATATAATAATAGAGAATATATAATAATAGAGAGAATTTTTATGGAAAATTTCGACCATTAGAGGGATATAGGATTTTCATCATTAAAGCGAAGAGTCTACCTTTTGTTGAATGCACCGAGATACTTGGAAACAATTTACATGTATGGGCGCATGATGGAAATTTCACGATGCTCGGGGAGAATGGATAATTTGAGAGGTGCGGTGGCCATTGTGATCACTAGAGAGCTTTTTAGTATTTCGAGAAGCTTTCGACCAATTCTACTCGAGAAAATTAGAAATCATTCTATGGCTAATGAAGTTGTGGAAAAAATCCTCCGTTCTTAAAAAAGAATGGTCACATTCTCTGAAAAAATGATATTCGATTTACTGAGAAGAAGTTTACACAACTTCAAATTTCTCTCACAAATCTAAGAACCAAGAATCGAAGTACTGACTTACTGCAATTTTCTCGATTGAATAAATTAAGAAATTACCTTGAATTTTTATGAATGTTGGAGATGCAGATTGTTCAGATTGTTTCCTCATTTCTAATTAATTTTTTGAACATAATTGAAATAAAATTTCCAATTACCAAAAACTAGGACGATGCGGTGGAAATATTTCTTGTCGGAAATTTCCGTGGATTTTCCTCCAGAATATATTGAAAAATGGAAGTAGGCAGTTTTTTGCATAAAGCAATAGATAATAAACACATCAGTTTCAGTAGCTCACAGTCCGATGAAACAAATAACAAGGGGTAGGTTTATGGCAATGAAAAACATTTTAAAAGGTCAACGACATACACTGATTTAATCCCCTAAATAGAGAGAAAGGGAGGTGAACAATGAATAATAAATTTACAAAGGGGACCAGCGACCTGACTTTTCTTCCGAGTCAATCTGAATTTTCTCCATGAGTAGAATCTACTCCTACATTTTCCGAATTTTTCTCGTTCCTCCTTGGTTCATATCTGAAAGTTACGACGAGTTGGTTTCGACTTGAAAGACCACTGAGAATGGCGGTCCATGTGATTAGAGAAAGAAAAATTGAGCGACGGGAATTACTCAACAAAAATAGCAATTGATGATGGGAGGGGCTAGTGGACTGAGTGCCGCGGGCATTAGTTTGGTAAACTAACATAGTTGGTTCTATATCATGTGTTCTGATTTGCCGCGAAAGCATAGAAACATCGATTCGAGCGGCAGCACTCACAACTCGCTCAAAACCCATATTGGCGTTCTCAGTGGAGTCGGGAGGGTTGAAAAAAAATATTCTAGTGTAATAGGAAAAAGTTTCAACAATAATCTGAACTTAGTTCAGAATTTTTACAGTCGACAAAATACTAGAAAACAAAATTTTACTTACTCAAACTTCGAAAATAAATTCAATGTCATTTATTTAAGGTTAAATTAAATTTATATTGTATTAATACCAAGAGGTGATGGATAGAAAATACTGTTTTTAGAACTTGTGAGCGATTTTTCAGCGGCCAGTGCTCACAATTCGCTCAGAACCGTTTTTAGAGTTGTCATAGTGGGTAAAAATGATTAAAAAAATATTACAGCTACCGGAGACTTCAAACAAAAGTCACAATTTCGTAGAATTTTTCGACCCCCTGTAAACGTCTAAAACATCTCGTCCTTGACGCTGAAAATTCTAAAATAACCTCAATGTCATTTATTCTAGTCTTCCAGCCATTCATTTCCAAAGAAATCTGACATTCTGATTTTACCCATGTTTACGCTGTCCCCTTTTACACTCGGCAAGTGGTGCATACATACCATTACCTCTGATAAAGCCTCCCGTTGAACCAAAAAGGGATAGAAAATTACATGCGCCGGGAAGGAGAAAACTGAAGAGGATTTTGATTGGAGAGGGAGGGATAACCAACTCCGAAAAGCTGAATCTCGTGAATTGTACCAAAGGTCACTTATTCATCGTTTCCACCACTCCCATCTACCTCGAGTCATTCAATTCAACATCTCTCGGGAAAATGCGGAGATTCAAGAGTAAATTGAATTAATGAAGAAAAGTTGGATGAACAAAATAAATTAATAAGAAAACGAAAATGTAGTCAAATGGTTCTGACTGAATAACACCGAAGAGAGTGAATGGAGGACAATGCGGAGAGTATTTTTCCCTCGCCAAAAAAAGCTGACCGAATCCAAGACACAAAAGAATTGAGGTATACACGATATTTTTTGCTCTTGCATTTCCTAGGAATATTGGGTGCAACCTACACAGACAACAGCCATTCTCCTCCGAACCTTCGAGGAAGAGTCTCGGGTGATACCGAGGTAGTTTTGTACTTTTTTTTTATATTTGCTGGAGGGGTGGTAGGGAAAAAGAGGGTGAATAAAGAGGAAATATCCGTCTGTGCCGCACTGCATTGGAATGTGCCTTCGTGCATGTTTTTTCTCACTCGATTTCCTTTTTTCGCAACCATTGTAGGAAATGGCAGACAGTGGGGATGGGTCACACAAAGAGTAGAAGATACACCGTAAAAATCATTTTAAATCAAATCGAAAAACCGATTTGACGTGAAAATTTCTTTCGCTTCGTCCGATACACTACTTCAATCGAATCGAAAAATTTGTTATACAAACTTGAAAAAAAATTGAATATGTTATAGATTCATTCCACGCAATTCCTAGATAACTGAAACAAACTTATTTCATTATGCGCGATCAAAATCATGAAATTGAAGAAGATCAGTTTTGTTTATGACAACTCGAGAAATATCAGTTTTTTTTAACAAAAAGTGTTAAAGAACATTTCTCCTCGAAAATCAAGACAATTTTCCAATGCTCTTTCACATTTCTATTTATTTTTCGAAAAACTTTCAGGGCAAACCTCTAAACAAAACTTTTTTCGGCCTATTTTTTACAATTATTTATTCTTGTTTTTGTCAGCATACATCTATGCATGTGTGAAAATTGCAAAAATTTAATCGGTTAAGGTCATCATAGAATCGAACACCATACATGAAGATTATGTTGAATATATTGTTATAGATTTTATTTATAAAAATACATGTTTTTTTGCCGGGGCCTTCATATATGTGTTATGGTAATAAGCATGCGCCAAATGCTTGAGTTCTGAAAATAAATAACTTCATCAAATAAATCGCTGGAATCAGTATTTTTTTATGTAGTGGGAATCCACTGAGTATCTAGGAGTACTGATGAATGTCAACCTCGTTGAGACTTTACGATGGAGCGGTAAATTAAGGGTGACATTATTTTCTTTTCGAGAGATAGTTGGGATTTATCCTGTCGGATTTTCAGGCTTGGGGTAAGTAAATTCAGATGGAATTGGTGAGGGATTTGATTGAAATAAATGATGCAAGTTGATTCAACATAACGAGTATTCGGTATTCATCGAGTTGATGATATGGTTTATAGGAATGTAAGCGATTTGATGAATGCCCATGTGAATAAATAACGGGGAAAATAATCCAGAGAAAAATTTCAGGTTTGGTTGATAATTACAGCAAGGAAATGAACAGATTGGCATTATTGATTAGAAAACATGAGAGTAACCAAACATACCGACAATCTACCGGTCCTAAATTTTCATGACTCCACTATAAACTATTTAGATCGATTATTTACCTAGCCATGGAGTCATCGTATTCGCCATCAGTATCACATTACAGTTAATCCCGGCATTATTTCAGAGATGATGTAGCACGAGGGGTGAACACTTCATCCGCAATTCCGGAATCAGTCTGACATTGCTCCAGTCGATGAGCCAGATGCGACGCATTCAATAATTCATGAGCACTTACGGCGAAACGAAAATGATCCTTCAACCGACAATTCCGAACTGTACGTCTCAGTAAAATGAAATTTCGCTTTAAACTTTAAAAGCCTCAACTTCAGACTTTTTAAAATCATAATTTGAATTCTAAATATTCCAATGTGTACGTACCGTAATGCTTTCGAATGAAATAATGTTTCAGGACTCAAATGAAGATTTTTAAGTGTCAATACTTGAGACTTACATAAGTACCAATTTGGAATTTTTTCAACTTGATTTTAGGCTTACAGAATTTAATTTTGTTGGAAACTCAAATTTTAGTTCAACCCTGGTGAAAGAAAAATTTTTTATGCCATCGGTGCCCGTAATCGGCGATTCATAAAATTGACATAAAATGACATAAAATGACATAAAATTTTGTATGAAACGCGTGCGTAATATATTTTTCGACTCGTGGGATTGTAAAACTCGCCTTCGGCTCGTGTTACAAACCCCCCACGAGTCAAAAAATATATTACGCACGTGTTGCATAATATACTAATTTTCCATTAGATTATATAGAAACAAAAGGTGGTCGGAGAATGGGTGTGTTATTCTCCAAACCCCCATCATTTCTCATTATCTGTGATGTGTGAGTAACAAGACAATTTTTAATAAGAAGGTAAGGGGTGAAAGTATGGAAACTTACAATTTTTTCGATAAATTATGTATAGTTGTAGTATGTATTAGGGGAAAGACTATTTAATGTTACCTGTTAGTCGCGAACCGTTCCAGCATGCAAATTGAAATGGTCAATGGGTGGATACGTCAAAGTAAGATGATAATATCAACCAAGTCAACTCTCCAGAAGAAAATACGGGTAAGTGAGATGTAACCCTTTTTTCAGTAGGCTAACATTTCGCATGAGGATAATTCACCGGTGATAAGGTGAAATTATTCAAGTCAAGGACCATAAGAAGAAATACCTTTTGATGCCTACATAAATTGATGCGATTGGTGATTTCAACTTCTTCTGTATCAATAATCATATTCTTAGAGACCGAATAATTAAAAATGAAAGGTTGTAAACGTAAATTGCCAGTATATTTTTAGTATAACATTTCATACAGCACTAGATAATTTTTTGCGAAATCGATGCAGAAATATTATTGAACTATCAGACAGTAATTAATAAGATTACTTCTTTTCAAGATCCAATGACCACTTACTACTTACCAAAGTTAAGTACAGAGCTACAAGCTGTAATGTCCAGATTATTTAAATAATTCAATTTATATTAAACTACCCAAAGTCAATGAACCACCGCCACTGAAGTTGGGCAATACACAAAAACCGCCAATGACCTCAGGGGAATGTGCAACGCCGCATTCCACAGAGGCCATTGCAATGAAAATTTAGCAAATTACAAGTTTTCCCTAGCAAGCAGAGCCAGGTCATCAAACTCGAAATCAAAGAGGTGGCAATCACACCACCTCTCCCACTCCAATGAATTTCCCAATCCTCGTAAAAATAAATAGAGGAGCCTCCCGAAAAACAGCAGTCTGAAAAATCCCGCTCCCGAAAGAACTACAACTTCCTGGCGGAATAATTATTGGAATCGGTCCGACTTTTGGCTAGTATTTCGGAGTTAATCTTAAATTAAATTTTCGGAGTGTTCCTAAATAATATTAGGGAACATAAATTAGCAATTGTTCGGGGATACAGAATCCTTAAACCGAGAGTAAATAATCTCTTCCAGATTAAGGGAACAAGTATAGTAATTGTCGGTGAATGGTGGGTGTGACTCAAAATTAACTATTAAGTGACTATTAAAAACTATTGAGAGCCTGGACTCAAATTAATAAATAAAATTCATCAAAACAACTAAGTGAAAGACAGGTATTTCACCTAAGTATCTGTGATAGTGTACTGATTGTCATCTGGCAGAGAAACGTGGTGAAATCACCCTAAGAATTCACATTTTAAGAAATAAGAACCGATCGCAGTGAATAACCATCAAATTGTAGAATCCCCAATAGAGCCATCAAAGAGGGGTTCCTTAAAATTCTAATTACTTTCACCAATCAATGTAAATCGATTTAAGCGCTCCAATAAAACGCAAGGTTGTACGATTCAAAATCTCCTATTTTTTCATTCATTCATTCAAGCTGTTTATTCTAAAAATCACCAACGGTAAGAACAAAAGAAAATCCAGCGTCGTCCAAAATTATTAATCAACAAATTCCAGCTTACGATCAAAAATCAATGTCCTTCGACGCGAAAATTCTCCGGACATAACAAACCACATTTTCAGGAGAATATAATAGACAAATTACATGAAGGCCTAATTTGCTCACGATTAATTAGCTGGGTGGAACATTATAACTATCTTGAAATACTTATTTCATCCAATGTTGAAAATTTATGACTGGTAATGCTCATGATGACCACAGTCATACGACCAGCCATGATGCAAATTTGACATTAATTATGTCAAACCAACTAATCGTGTGTAAAATGACCCAGTGAAATATGTTGCCACGCTAAATTTTCGCGCATATAGGTATAACATTCGACTATATTTTACTGCATTTGTTCTTCAACTCTGTAATTTTTACGCGACGTTTAGTCATTTTATTCGCTATTTTCGCTAGTTGACTCAACACTGCTTGAATAAAAAATTGTTTTCCTTCTCGTTTGTTGAGGATCTTCAGATTTTTAGGAGGATTCAATTTGTACTCGATGTATTTTGTCCTGAGATTCCTTTTCCTTTCAAGACTCTTCAATTTTGATGAAGAGCTGTTTGATGAAAAACATTTGTTTTACGTGGAGGCTTCGTTTTAATTTCTGTCTGTCTATACCCAAGTGAGGATTAACCATTGGTTCGAGCTCGGTCCAAGCTCGGACCAACACTAACCTAGCTTAAGTGTGGAATTCAAGCTAGTACTAATCTTGGTTATTCCTTGATTTGTAATGCTAATTCAAGCTTGGATGTCGAGCTCGATCCAAGCTTGGATGTCAAGCTAAAATCAAGGTAGTTCAGACCCGGGCCAAGCTTGCATCAACCTTGATCCAAACTTGAAGGTAAAATCGAAGCCGAGCCTGGTATCCAATTCTTAACCAGTCCGTGAACTTATCTAGCAATTATTGATTAAAATCATAGAAAAAATAGAATTAATTCGTTGTTTATCATACATACAAGTCAATTTTGCCACTATTCATCATTCTCTGATGAATTGATCGTTGAAAAAAAACGTAATTAATTGACTTAAAAATTGACCGCCACAACCGAGATTCGAACGCATGATCCTAACATTACGAAGCCTACGCCTTACCACTTTTTTTTTTTTAACAATTGTTTATTCATTTAAGCGGCGACAGTAGCCACGCGGGCGGTGTGTGACTCCGGCGATCACCCAAGCTAAGCAACGCTCAGTTGGGTTAGTACTTGGATGGGTGCCCGCTTAGTCACACCCATCGGCGTGTAGACTGCCGCCGTCAGGCACGGGTGCGGAGAGCTGGTGTGTTCACCGAGTCAGTGTGACTGATGAACACAGCAG